TCCAAACTAAGAAGATGTTACTGGCACACTCCCTTTCCTTTAAGTGTTAAAATTAACATCACTGTCGTGTTAGGACTCTCTTTTTGAATATTAAATAACCATATGACTACAATAAAAGTAAGTGAATTTAACTTGCAGTCTTAGATATTTTAAAAAGTTAACCAAAAAAGTAGTATATATTGAGTTGTAGAAAATATAATTAATTTACTTGTCATTAGACATTAGTGTTAGGCCTATTATACTTTTAACACTGCATTCTATACTCAGTACCTTAGTTGTTTTCAAGACTTAGAAGTGTGTATAATAGCAATTGTAGCAACTGTTTAAACAACTCTATTCAATTATTAGCCTAGGAAGCATGATCATAATTAATTTACTTGTCATTAAACACCAATATTAGGCCCAATATACTTTTAACACTGCATTCTCTATTTAGTCCTTTAGGATTTTAAAAATGAGAAGAATGTATAATAATAATAATATTCCAACTACACTATGTTCATCGTATCCATTGCTTACGTCATGTTTTGCTCAATCCAGAGCTCATCAGATGTGCTGAGACACAACTGTACTCGGAACACTATACGTATATATAAGCCATTTGTTACAGCAACTATTGTTATCGAAATGGTGTATTTAAATGTTTTACACTCACAAAAAGGAAACCTATCATTCTATAGGTATTTCACGAACTTGTAGCATTCTGCCACAATTTAATTCTTCGTATTATTAGCCGACACTCAGCTTGAAAAGAGTGTTGACACCATAACAATTGCTGTAATTAATAACACATCATCAAGCTTAAACTTTGTTACCGTAGATCTGAAATGCTGTTTTTTACACGCCTCTGATGTTGAAACTGAACTAGAAAGATTAAGAAGAATGTGAAGAAGAAAACATATGTAGTTTACTTGATTTTTGTCACAGATTTTAAGTCTCTTGGTTTTTAATGCTTCACCAGCTTTCAGCGCCTAAACCACACATTTTTAATAATTATACTCTCCCTCAGCTTGTGTCATCTGGTGGGTATTGATCATCTCTCTGTACAGGTTCAACTACCAGTCAGGGTAGCATACGATCATCCAAACACAAATAGGCTTTTTTTTTAACTACCGTAATACTAATTGGTTATCTTGTAGGATTTATGTTGAAAGAGATATAGCAAATGCTGATTTGAATCTTTCCGCTATTGCTAATGTTAATTTATTGGGTACTGTTTTTGAAGATGCTATCATCTCTACCAGTTCCTTACATATCCAAAGACCAGCTTGTCAGTACACACCACATAGATCAGGTTTTCAATACACACCATATAGACCAGGTTTTCAATACACACCACATATCCCAGCTTGTCAATACACACCATATAGACCAGGTTTTCAATACACACCACATATCCCAGCTTGTCAATACACACCACATATCCCAGCTTGTCAATACATACCACATAGACCAGGTTTTCAATACACACCATATAGACCAGGTTGTCAATACACATCACATATCCCAGCTTGTCAATACACACCACATATCCCAGCTTGTCAATACATACCACATAGACCAGGTTTATTTACCTCGCCGAGCAGTAGATCTTCTGCAACCTTCCTCGTGATTAATTCGGAACTATCATTGGTGCTGTGGCTCTTATGTCTTATTACAACATAGAGATCTCCAGTGGACGGTCGGTTATGATGTATGAGCACTAAAGAGATAGCACTGGCATCAGGTTTTCAACCAACCCCTATATATATTTGAAATCTTCCCTAATACAGGAACAGACTTAAATCCCTGACTAAACAAAAGTGCTCCTCAGATTTTTGTTGATAGTGCTCTGCGTACATTCTCACTTGAAAAGTTAATATGTTTACCCCTCTTCCATGAAAATAACTTTACAGCTTCGAAACATAACTTCTCTACTTGGAAGATACAGCATATATTCTTAAGTTGGCTGATCATTCACTTCCTGAACTCACCCCACTGCAGATATTTAAGTGATTGCATCATTCACATTACTTGTCCTGAGTAGGCGCAAAACTGTCTTGGATGAAATTGCATCTCAAGTATGCCCCATTTAGATTCCTTTTCCTGCTTTCGACATTTTGTACCATTGTTTTCGTTCTGGATTTTACTCAGATTCCTGCAATAATTGCATTATTTTTCTGTTCCTTAAACCTTCAACAAGTGTTGATTTTTATCGTGCTGTTAGTCTTACCAGTATCCTCAGTAAAATCTTAGAACGTATTTTAGTTCATTTACTCCATACAACTCTTGTTGGATTCCGTCAGCATCTATCGATAATGGATCAACTTCTAAAATTACCAGGGACTCTCCTCAGTGACTTTAACACTAAAAAGCCTCATCATCTGTTAATTTTGATTTTCAACAAGCTTTTGACTCTTATCTGGCACCGTGGTTTGATCTACAAACTGTGAAACTTGTATGTAGAAGACGTGCAGATATTTCTCTTGAGATGACTCTATCTAGAGCCTTAAGTCTTTCTGCTGGGGTTCCTAAAGGTCACTTCTGTATATCATGTAAGTTCACCAAAATGTGAATTAGCGATTGGCCAGCATTTACTAGTGAACCCGACTTGTGCTGACAACTACACGGATAGCAGGTTTGAAATTATTACAAATGGTCGGTCGACTTTTCATCTCTATATTTTGGAAGCCACCTTTAATAAAACACATAAACCTGTCCTTTGCCGCCAAAAAGAATTCCTATACAATCTACACATCTTTCAGTAGGTCTGTGACATTCCTTGACTGGCTAAAGGATATGCCAATCATTGACTGCCTTACCAGCCTACGTTGATCTGACTCATTTTATAAGCTATACTATTTCCTATAGATCATTTTCCAGATGGTTCTACTATGATTAGTGTCTGGCAAAAAGCTTCAGCAGATATTCCTTTTGCAACATCTGAACCAACAATTGGTCT